GGGGCGGCCCGCAGGGCCCTATGCCGCTGACTGTGGAGGCCCTCACCGGGATGGCGGAGGGCGTGTCGCAGCTGGTGGACAGCTTCACGGCATCGGACCTGCTGGCCCGCTGCGTGCAGCTGCGGGCCAATGGCCTGCCCATCCCTGCAGCGCTGCTGGCGCTGGACAGCGAGGAGCAGGTGCAGCAGGCGCTGGCTCGGCTGGGCTTTGAGCTCGGCCGTGACAGGGTGTGGGTCCAGCTGCAGGCGCCCAACACTGTGCCGAAGCATGTGGCCCAGCTCACAGGCTGGGAGCCGCCCTCGACCTACGCTGCGGTAGCCGAGCGCGGCGCGCCCGCGGCACCGCCGCACGCCGCTGCCGCCCCTGCGGAGGCCTCCAACAGCACCCACCCAACCACCTCTGCCGCTGGCAGCTCCGGCATGCGCGTCCCCCAGGTGCGCACCGCCCCCCTTCCCAGACCGTGCCTCGCTGGTGCGCCACCGATTACACCAGCTACCCCCTGCAAGGCCCTGTGCCACACAACACCTCTCTCCCCACCCTTCCCCACGCCTGCCCCGCTGCCTGCAGCCCCGCGGCGGCCGCGGCCGTGGCCGTGGAGCCCACGGTGGGCGCTGGCGCTGAGAACTGGGCAGCACCTGCAACCCAACCACCGCCGCCGTCGGCATGCGACGGCAGTGCGCACAGCCTTGCACACACCGCACGGCGCTGCTGACTGGGCTGCGCTAGCCCTCGCTGGGGAAGTCCCCCAGCTGCACGTTGTGGCCCCTTGCCGGACCCCAGGGGCTGTGCACCCATACACTGTGATATGCAGTTCACCTCATTTTCTGCTCACCATGGGCCTGAGTCCACCCTCACCCCCTGCCCCACCCAATTGTCTTCCCTTCTGTGTTACTGTGTGTCTACTAGCGTTCTGCGGCGCGCGCTCGGCTGGCCTGCCGACGCGCGGCCACCCCTGGTGCCGCCCTCGCCTAATGCGACTGCCACCCCGCCATGTAAACCGTACGCCAATGCTACACAGCGACGATCTGATCAGATTGCTGCTCATGTTGAGTGGGGATGTGGAAGAGAACCCAGGGCCACCGCCCCAGCAACACCATAGGGCCGAGGACTGGCTGGGGGTCAGCGATGCGGCCGCAACCGACATACTGGGCCGCATTCGATACGCGGCGGAGATACTGGAACGGATGCCCTGCGACCCGCAGCTCCCACTTGAGCGGCCAGCACACCAATGGAACCACCTGGCTATGAAGATCCTGGCCTCCTCAATAGAGCGGCTGCTGCCCCGGGTGCGTGGCGCACAAGGCCTGCTTGCCGGAGACGTCACGCACCTCCCGGCGAGTGTTGGGTATGGCACACATGGGGGTACGTACCTCTCCCAGGTGGATCCCATCCCCAGCCTCGAAATGAAGCACACAGAGGGAGATGGCAACTGCCATCAGCGCTCGCTACTAGTCTCGGTGTTCGGAAGCGAGATGTGCGGATGGGTGGCGCTGCGCCTACGGTGCCTGCTCCACTTCCTGGTCAACTCTGCCCGCTACTACCGAGCTGAGAAGGGCCCGGGGGCGGAGAATACAGACTACGGCGCCTCGGCATTCCCCAACCTGGCCACGCCAGCAAGTTACCTGTGTGGGCGGGCGAGTGCAATCGCCGCGTCTGTGCTGCAGTGCCCGATCCTGCTCTACAACCCAGGCCATAAGCTGATCCCCCACAGAGAGCTTGAAAGCAGCTACATCGGGAAGTTAAAACCGGGAAGTGAAGCTTGTGGAGGCTCTTCCCCACCTTTACCTTTTTACATCCCACCTCTATTTGTCCAAGAGGAAGGCTACACGTCCAGAGTCCCCATCATACAGATGTGGGCATACTACGGAAGTGGCGTCCCTGTGGAGACGACACCGTGGCTCCCCAACCACTTTGAAGCTGGATTCCTGCCAACTGCAGCCCACTACAATGTGCTTCTCCCGGCGGACGCAGATCACGACCTGTACCTTCAGGGGTACTACGAGCACGGCGCAGGAAGGGACCCACGCTGGGCCTGGGATACCCAGGACAGCTTTGAGCTGCATCAGCTGCCCCCTGACTCCGACGAGCGCCGCCTGGTTGACACAGTACTCGCCTCAGTAAGGCAAATCCTCAGGCCCGCCTCCGTAGCCATGGCCATGCGCTGCCGCCAACGGGCCAGCGATGGCACCAGGCGTAACACCCGCAAGCGCAGCGCCACCCCCGGGGCAGCCCGGCCCCGTCAGTCACCGGCACCAGCACAGCATGTCGAGGCCACACAGGCTGCCGATTCTGTGAACAACCCCTCGCGGCCCCCCCGCCGCAAGCCGCGGTGGCGGCTACCGAACCACGCGACTGCACAGGCAGCTCTGCGCCGAGAGCCTAGCAGCACTTACTCTGGCCACAAGCGCAAGCGAGATTCCCCTGGTGCAGAAGGAAGGAGCAAAATTGCAAGGAAGGCCAACGTAATGGACACAGCCCGGCGGCGCAAACACAACTTGCAGGCGATCCCCGATGCAACAACTGTTGGAGGACGCAAGCGGGGGGGGGGGCCTACACCACCCGGCTCGCCCACTGCAAGAAAGAAACAGGCAGGGAACATGCCCATCAAACGCCAAATGAGCATACGAGAGGCACTCGCGGGCCGAGCGGACCACGCTCGGCAACAGACGGCCAGTCAGCAAGCACAGCGAGCTCAGGCTGGCCGGCCGCTTCTCGCGCAGCAACAACGGGCTGCGAAGCTGACGAAGGGCAGTGCCAGGCCCGGTGCGGCAGCTGCACCAAGCCGCAGAAAGAGACCGGCTGGCTGCCCCGTGGAGGATGCCCCAGAGCGGGCCACCCCGCCAGCTCAGGAAACCGTAGCTGTACTACCGCAGTCGCCGCCGCCAGCCGCTGCCCCACCGCCATCCAGCGCCGACGGTCAGGGGAAGAGTGAGCGAGCAGCGGCCTCGGTCTCTGAAGATGGCACTCCAAGCAAGGAACACGGCAACCTAACAATCGCCACGTATAATCCAATGGGTGGTACCACAGCGGAGACAGCGATACTGGCTCTGACGCAACGCTGCCCAGACGTGCTGGTTCTGCCGGAGCTGAAAATCAGCTCCAACCACCAACGCAAAAACCTGTACCGCAGGCTGCTCGGCAGGGACTTCGTGCTGACGTACAGCTTGCTGCCCGGCGGCAGCCTGCTGGCCAACAAAGGAAAAGGAGGCCGCACGAAAGCAGGGGTGCTTATTGCAGTTGCAAAGAAACACACTGCCCACCACAGCCTGTCCAAGCCGGAGGTGCCTGCTCACCTTCATGGGCACCTGAGCCATGTGCGCTTGAACCCGCCGGGCAGCCGCCCACTGGATATCATTGGGGTATACATGCCCTCCGCATCAGACGAGCAACACATACGTGGCCTGGCTGGGGAGTATATTCACCAGACAGTACAACGATGCACGACAACCGGCTCAACGCTCGTGCTGGCAGGGGACTGGAACGCCACTCAACGGGACGCGGACCGCTCCACCCGTAGGAGCAGCCCAACTGACGTTGAGCACCGACAGCTGGTGGCAGATGCACGGCTCGTGCCAGCCGGAGGCCATCCCACCGACCCCAACCAACCCAACGAGCCCACCTACCGACAGCAGGTTGTCAGTGGGGACGCAGTGTGCAGTAGGATAGATGAAGTGTTTGTATGCCTACCCACGCTGCCCGATGCGGCAGCATGGAAGCCCGCCGATTGGGAGGTGCCTGCCGCAGGGGGCAACAGCGACCATGAGCCCTTGGTGGTGCACCTCCCTTGCCTCCAGCTGGGCTATGAGCCCCCGCCGAGGCAGGCAAAGTTGCCATTTCAGGGCAAAAAACAGTTCACGCTGCCGATGTGCAGGGAAGAGCTACTGCGCTTCAAATCAGCATTCCAGAGTGAGGTTAGCGTACAACGCGCAATGCGGCAATTTGAGGAGGCAGCAAGTGCCGCGGCCAGCAAATTGGAGGACGCACATAGCCAGGCGCTGTCGCAATCGGCAGAGCCCGCAGCATACGCGGCGGCATTTGAGAGGGAAGCAAACAAACAGGGGGTACCCAACGACGTGGTCGAGACCCTGGCCGGGCAGCTTCATGAGCTGCTCAACACGGCACTGGAAACGGCACGCCAGCACTGCACCATGCATACCACCACCAACCGTCACTACCTCCCCCGTACCGCCAGCAGGCGAGTGAGGGAATTGGATAGGCTGTCCTGCCTGTTGAAGGTGGGACGACGCGAACTGGAAACCGCATGGACGGATGGTAGCCACACACAGAAAGCGTTGCTGGCCGCCTTGCGCGAAAGGATGGAGGCGGAAGTTAGCAGGGGGACTGATCATAGTGCGAGCGACGAGCCCCGCTCCACAAAGCGCGGCAGCACGCTATGCTCGGCGACACCTCGAGATGTCGACACAGCCTTGCAGGAGCTGCAAGGCCACCTAGATGCTACTGCTCGCGCCAGGTCTGCCAGTCCACCAAAGGATCCGCGACTAGTCGCCACTGCGGGTGCGCCCAACGGGGAACTCAACACAGTGTTGGCAGGAGTCGAGGCGAGCCTCAGCGCGTTGCGACAGGAACGGAGAGGCATCCTACGCACTGATCAGCTAAAGGCATGGGGCAAGGCTGTCAGTGCGTGGCAAAAGAAGTATGCACGACAGCCGAGATGGCGGCACAAGGATATTGCCGCCTGCAACACAGGAGCCCCCCGGGGCATAGAGGTGCTCCGCGACCCGACCACTGGGACCCTCACCGCAGAACCGACGGAGTTGTTGCGCATCCTGCGGGAGCAAAGGCAGAAAACAGCCGCGGCACCGACGTCAGAAAAGACAGGGTCCTACACCACTGCAGTACCAACCCAAGGGGAACGGGGCTACCCTTGGGAGACACCCAATGCCACGGACAGGTTCACATTGTGCACTAAGGTAGCGCCCGGCTGCCAGAGGGAAGACCTACTGCCCAGAATAAAAGACTTTGGCCTTTTCGAGGGCATTATAAAGCGGGCAGCTAATAAAAAAGCAGCGGGGCCAGATGAGGTGCCAAATGAGATGCTCAAATTCCTGCCCACACAACTGCACCACAGCATGCATCACATGTTTGTCACAATGTGGCTCACAGGAGCAACGCCCAGCCCTTGGAAACACAGTCATACCATCATGTTGTACAAAAAAGGGGACCCCACCAACCCGGCCAACTACCGACCGATCGGCCTGGCCCGCACGGTGTACAAGCTATGGACCGCGCTGCTGACTGCGGTGATGTCCGACTATGCCGCACAACACGCCATCATCAGTGATTCCCAGCACGGCTTCGTAAAAAGGTAAAGGTAAAGGTAAAAGGTAAAGGTAAAGGTAAAGGTGGGGAAGAGCCTCCACAGGCTTAACTTCCCGGTTTTAACGTCTAGCTTTAGACCATTATTTGATCTGCCCGACGCGCCAAGTGCAGTACCCCCCACTAGTAGTGAATGGGTCCCGGGGGGGCCTGTGCCGAAGCCTTGGCGATTCTAATAGGCGTTCCCGAAGGAATTGGCTTGGATTGGCGCTGAGCCGGTCAGCTATGCCGCGTTTGTCCTCACAAAGTTTCGACATGGGAGGAATCGAACCTGTGCCCTCTCGGAGGGTTTAGACACTAGCTCCAGCGCCTTCAAAGAAGGCCTTTCTTAGCCGCGGTAAAGGTAAAGGCTTCGTAGCTGGCCGTAGCACCCACTTGCAACTCTTCAGCGTGCTGAATGCCTTGGAAGACGCCCGGCACTTCGGGCGTGACATATACCTTATGTTCGTCGACTTCAGTTCCGCGTTCGACACGGTGGACCACGACAAGCTGCTGCAGCTCATGTGGGATATGGGCTTCCCCCACCACGCAGTCCAGGCAGTGCAACAGCTGTATACAGGGGCAAGCACCAGCATCAGGACATCATTTGGACAGTCTGACCCAATTGACATTGAACGGGGTACTCTGCAGGGCGACTCGTTGTCCCCCTTCCTGTTCCTGCTGTTCATAGAGCCGCTGCTACGCTGGCTGCATGTCGGCGGCCGTGGCTACAAACACGGCTGCACCCAGACAGCCGACGCCGAGAAGTACGCCTGCAGCGCACGGGCCTATGCCGACGACCTTGCTGCACTCACTGGCAGCTGGAGGGACATGGAGCATCAGGCTGACAAACTCAGCCACTTCCTGCAGTGGTCTGGCATGACAGCCAACCACAGCAAGTGCGGGGTCACCGGCATGTTGTATGGCAGCAGCGGAGGCTCGCCGCTGGCCAAGAGCTCGGTGGAGATGTTGCGTCGACGATTAGGGGAGGTACGGGTTACTGGCCGACCCCTGCCCTTCCTACACCCTCATCAACAACCATACTGCTATCTCGGGGTTATGCTCACGCCGTCGCTGAATTGGAAGCACCGAGTAATGGCACTGGGAGAGGCGGTGATTGAAAAGGCGGATGGTATCCTGCGCTCCATGGCGTCCGATAGGCAAAAACTCAGGCTAATTGACACGTTGCTTAAGCCATACATCCGTTACTCCCTCTCCACTGGAGCCTACAAGGCCAGCGACATCAGCAGCCTGGATAGCCTGGTGGCCCGGGCGGCAAAGTGCAGCATGCGGTTGCCGTCCTCGGCTCCCACCGCCTTGGTGCAGGAGGATGTCGAGCGGGGTGGGGTTGGCACCACCTCGCTGCAGGAAATGTATGTCACGGAGCTGGCATCCAAACTTACCTTGGCACTGAACGACAAGGGCATGCTGGGCCACGTCACCAGCAGCCTCCTCAACACACGAATCCAGAGGGTGGGAGGCATGAACAACAACCACCTGGCCGACAGGCTGCGCCACAGCCGACTGTTACGCACCATCACGCTGCTGGCGGCATGTGGCGGCACGATGCTGCGATTCACGGGGGGGACAACGCAGAATGGTACAACCTGCAAGGCTCCGAGCTCACGACACTGGTAGAACGGCTGCGGCACGACCCCCAGGATCTGGGCATGTCGCTGCAAGTACCTGCTGCCCACTTTCTGCCCCTGTTGGAGGTGGGGGTGACGAAGCTGAGCCACCTGCTGGAACCCACCGGCACACACGTGGTAAAGGTAAAGGTGGGGAAGAGCCTCCACAGGCTTAACTTCCCGGTTTTAACGTCTAGCTTTAGACCATTATTTGATCTGCCCGACGCGCCAAGTGCAGTACCCCCCACTAGTAGTGAATGGGTCCCGGGGAGGCCTGTGCCGAAGCCTTGGCGATTCTATTAGGCGTTCCCGAAGGAATTGGCTTGGATTGGCGCTGAGCCGGTCACGTGGTAGCCGCCTCGACGTTGCACGCTCACCTGCGGCGTCACAACATTGAAGTGGGTAGCATGCGGGGGCTCAGAGAGGCGCTCAACTGCCTTACCGTGTGCCTCAACTCGCCGATAGCCGAACTGCCCACCAACGTCAAGGTTGGCACCGCAAACCGGGAAGTGAAGCTTGTGGAGGCTCTTCCCCACCTTTACCTTTACCTTTTACCTTTACCGCCGACCTACCCAAAGCACGACGGGAGGTGTTGGCAACGCACCTACTGGCCGGGATGGAGAGCCCCACTGCGCCGATGGAGGGGCACTATCCCAATGGCCAGCACTTGGTCACCAAGTACCCAGCAGAGCACGGGGCTTCAACACAGGGACCCGGCACGGCAACAACCAGGGTCGAGCCAGCACCACCAACGATCGCTGGTCGCAGGCAGCGACGGCAGCCCCGCCGCCAGCCCACCACCGTGCGCGAGGAGCAGGTGGGCGCCCTGGAAACGTTCCTGACCGACTTCCGGGACCAATACTACAAGCTCAGACCAGGGAACCCGGCCCTCATCCACAAGTATGCAGCGTGCCCACCCCCAGACCTCCCAAGGCGGGGCCCTATCCGACTCACCCAACGGTTGTATCGGTGGCAAAGGTAAAGGTAAAGGTGGGGAAGAGCCTCCACAGGCTTAACTTCCCGGTTTTAACGTCTAGCTTTAGACCATTATTTGATCTGCCCGACGCGCCAAGTGCAGTACCCCCCACTAGTAGTGAATGGGTCCCGGGGAGGCCTGTGCCGAAGCCTTGGCGATTCTAATAGGCGTTCCCGAAGGAATTGGCTTGGATTGGCGCTGAGCCGGTCAGCTATGCCGCGTTTGTCCTCACAAAGTTTCGACATGGGAGGAATCGAACCTGTGCCCTCTCGGAGGGTTTAGACACTAGCTCCAGCGCCTTCAAAGAAGGCCTTTCTTACAGTCTGGTTTCAGCAAGAACTGTGCCAGGGGGTGGGCGCCATATGCGAGCTGCACGCTGGACAACAGCGCTTGCTGCAACAGGCTGCCGGGACGCTCCTCCAGCGTCTTGTTCCAGAGTTTGGCTGCCCGCCGCAGCCAGCGCTGCCACAGCGGGCGCTCGCCAGTCTCCGCAAGGAGGGCCGCATTGGGGGTGCTCTGCCGGACCCCCAGCAGGTGGCGTAGGTAGCTGAGTTGCAGCTTCTCGGCCGCGCTGCCGGCACTGCCACGATGGCAGCACGCCGCTTTGGCCGCCAGCTGCACGCCCCACACCTCAGCACCATGGGACAGCACCGAGTCCACCATGGTGCCGAAAAGCCGCAGCTGGACGGGCGCCGCCTCGATGCCCACCTCTGCGCAGCGGGTCCGGCAGTTGTGCATAGCCAGGCGCGCCAGCTGTGCCCGGGCTGGCGCTGCTGCCCCTGCCAGGCAGGTGCTGGAGTGAAAGGCGATGCCGAGATACTTGAAGCTGGTGACTGCCGCCAGCTGCTGGCCGGCGAAGGTGAGGCCTGCTGCCTCTGCTGTCTGCTGCGCCGCGTGCTGGGTCCGCCGCCCACTGAGCAGCATGAGCTTGGTCTTGTCGATGTTGACAGTGAGGCCCCACTGCCGGCAGTACTGCTGGAGCAGGTTTAGCTGCCGCTGCAGCCCGGCCGCTGAGGTGGCCAGCAGGACCATGTCGTCGGCGTACAGCAGCGGCGGCACCACGGCGCCGCCGCTGCCGAGGAAGCTGGGGAGGTCGAGCTGCTCGCCACGCCGCGCCGCCGCCATCAGCTCCTCCTCCAGGTCGTCGATGTAGAGGCCAAAGAGGGTGGGGCTGAGGGGGCAGCCCTGCTTCAGGCCTGTCACGGCCTGGAAGCAGGGCGACAGCCCGGCTGAGGTGCGCACCGACATGGGGACGTTGCTGTACAGCGCCTGCGCTGCCGCCAGCCAGGCTGTGTCCACACCGCGTGCCGCCAGCTTCTGCCAGAGCTGCTCCCTGGGCACGCGGTCGTATGCCTGCTTGAAGTCGACGAAGCAGCCCCACAGCTGCTGGCCTCTCAGGCGGTGTTGGTCCTGGAGTGCGCGCAGCACGAGAGCTGCCTGCGCTGTGCCGCGCTGGCGCCTGAAGCCAAACTGCCCTGCTGCTCTGAAGTTGCTGGCCTCTGCCCAGTCTGAGATGCGCTGCTCCAGGATGGCGGCGTACAGCTTGGCGGCCATGGTGCCGATGGCAATGCCGCGCAGGCTGCTGCAGCTGGTGGGGTCGCCGCCGGGCTTGAGGATGGGTGCGATGATGCTGAGCGCGTCAGGGGTGGCCAGCTGCCCCACCCGCCGCCATGCTGTGTAGACGGCGGCCAGCACGGGGGCCAGCTGCTCCGCTGCGGCCTTGAGGAACCACGGCGGCAGCTCACCGGCAACCGCCTTGCGCGGTTTGGCCTGGCTGGCGAAGGCTGCCACTTCTGCCGGTGTGATGGGGCTGCCCAGGCGGGCTGCCAGGGTGGTGACGTCTGGCTGGGTGGCCGCTGTGCTTGCGGCGGTGGTGGGGGAGGTGGCGGGTGGGGCTGGGGAGGGGTGTGTGGTGGCGCTCGTGTGCGCGGGGAGCGCTGTTGCAGGGGAGGTGGCGGGTGGGGGAGCGGCAGGAGGGAGGGCGGGCTGGGTGGCCGCTGTGCTTGCGGCGGTGGTGGGGGAGGTGGCGGGTGGGGCTGGGGAGGGGTGTGTGGTGGCGCTCGTGTGCGCGGGGAGCGCTGGTGCAGGGGAGGTGGCGGGTGGGGGAGCGGCAGGAGGGAGGGCGGGCTGGGGGGCCGCTGTGCTTGCGGCGGTGGTGGGGGAGGTGGCGGGTGGGGCTGGGGAGGGGTGTGTGGTGGCGCTCGTGTGCGCGGGGAGCGCTGGTGCAGGGGAGGTGGCGGGTGGGGGAGCGGCAGGGGGGAGGGCGGGCTGGGGGGCCGCTGTGCTTGCGGCAGTGGTGGGGGAGACAGGGGAGGTGGCGGGCGGGGGCTCCGGCGGAGGTTCTGGCGGGGGGCGATGTGCTGGCGGCTGGGCGGCG